TGATAATATTATAAAATTTAATAGCTTAATTTTATATTATCTTCATATACAGCGCTTTTCAATGAAATGCTACCAACTTTTTATATTACATCTTATACAATAGAATTTCAGTAGTTGTAAACTGAATTGATACGAATATACGTTTTGTTTTATGAGTATTTTATACACAGAATATAATTAATATGGCCTGTAATGAGGTAAACCAGATGGCACAGGCATTGGCATTGAAACAGGCCCGGCTGGATATGGAATTGACGGTGTAATACCAGGATAATTAGTGGCAATCGGATAACCAGGACCAGTAGTAGAATGCGATTTTTTAATTAATTCCCTTAATTTATCTACTTTAACTTTTCGCAGATGCATCAATTTCCGTCCTGATAAGAATTGTTCAAAAAATTCGTCTACCTCCATATCTCCAGCTAAAAATTTCTCAGCTATGGTCTGCAATTCAAGAACGAACTTGTTATTCCCTAACAAAATGATATCGTTCAATAATTATAACTAAACTGTGGATCTTACGCATTTATAATAAAATTAGGTATGTGAAAAACGTATAAAATACAAAGTAATAATAGCAAAATACCGTAATATTTAAAGGATTAAAGGTTAATATATTGTCAACATAACACATTGTCAACAATTAGAATTGTACCTCTGATTTTTCTTCAATCTCAGCTGCTGCAGTTTGAAGCAAATCTAATGCAGTGTCAACACTCATGTCTCCAGATTTGTCCTCTAAATTAAATAATTAAAATTGACGAATTATTATTTATAACAACGCAACGTGTTTCCTAATGTAAATGAGTATAATGTATTAGTTACAAGTACATACTTAATTCATCTAATTTTTCTTTTACATTTGAACATAATCTATTTGCTGTTTCACTGAGTTCCTTTAATATCTGTTTACCCTCTTGTAATTCTGGTTGCCTTGATAAATTAAATTCTGCTAATGACCTATTACTTGCCATTAACATTTCCTTTTCTGTTTCCAAATCTTTGAACTAGAAGGTGGATCAAAATACACAATTAATAACAATAAAAGAGTAGAACATAATATGGATAGAATAATAACTACCTGCTTTACATCCTTCACAATATCTTCAAATTTTGCATCATTATTTAATAATTCTTTGAGTTCATCATTCGTCAAGTGTGTCAACAGTCCGAGTGCTGCAGGTATGTCAGGTTCTTGATTTGGTTTGAACATTGTTTGGTCTCGATCAATTACACAAGATCAAGTTTATGAATAAAACTGTATGTTGTAGAGAAATGATAAATATTTATTTTCCACACTACGTTCCAATTAGACAGAATTACACACTGCGCTACTCGCTTAATACAAAGTAAATTATGTCACTCGAAGGAACAGTATTAGAGATGTAACGAAACGTAGCTTTCGATATAATTATGAATATTCATATACAATTATACATGCATAAATTGAACAATGATACATTTACTGCTTCTGAGGAGTCTTATAAATAAGCAACGCAATTTCTATTTTTCTTGCCATCACCATTGAATAATATGAAAGAGACACGCAACGTACAAACTCAACTTAGCCAAATTTTAATAATTTTGACTAACAGAGTGTGCTGTATTTACTGTGCAATCCCAGCCAACCATCTGCCTGCAGATTGCCGACAGATTGCCGGCAGATTCTGCCCTCTGGAGCAAAGTCTGCAGACAGATTGCCGGAAAGTTGCGTCCGCATTATGCCGGCAATTTTCCGGCAGGCCTGCCATCAGACCCTGGCCGCAGAATGACTGCAGGCCCTGCCGGCAGATCTGCTATCAATCTGGCGGCAGTTTGCGACAGGCACTGCCGGCAGATCTGCCATCTATCTGGCGGCAGAAGCGCATCAGACGTGACATCAGCCGCTGGCGACAGAATAACTACAGATTGACTACAGATCCCGTCGGCAAGTCTGTCATCAATCTGTAATCATTCTGCCGTCAACCGTGATAGCATATCTGCCGCCAGAATGACGCCAGATTTCTTGTCAGAATGACAGCAGTCTATCGTACATTATGATAAAATTCTGTCAAATATTATTGTATATACGGA